AGCTGGGAAGAGGGAGGTGGACCCTCTCCTGCAGAACATCTACGCACCAGCCTGGTGTCAGAGGGCAAGGGGCGACCTAGAAGTGACCAACACAAAATGAACAAGACCATCAGATGGCCATCAAAAGCTCACAGTTCTATTTTCATTTTATTTCATTGTTTCTTCGTTTTATTCTGTGAACACCAAGCTATACTTTGGTGAATTTTACCTTATCTTCCTAAAATACTTTTGGGCTTATTGTAACTAAAAGGAATATTGCCTCATATATGTTCCTTTTTTCTTCTTCTTCCCTAAATTGTTACCTTTCCACTCAATGACATATCTCTACAGCATAACCCATAACTTGAGTCTTTCACTCACAGTAAAATACTGTGAATAGAGAAGGCCAGGACTAGTCAGTTCTTTTACACATTCATGCATTTATATAATCTTCTCCTTGAGCAGGCACTTTAAAACAATATGAAATTTTTTTATTTAACAAACTAGAGGCCCGGAGCATGAAATTCGTGCACTGGGGGGGGGGGTCCCCCTCAGCCCGGCCTGTGCCCTCTCACAGTCCAGGAGCCCTTGGGGGATGTCCAACTGATAGGGAGCAGGCCTAAGCTGTCAGCCGGACATCCTTAGCGCTGCCGCAGAGGCGGAAGAGGCTCCCAACACTACCGCTGTGCTCACCAGCCGTGAACCCGGCTTCTGGCTGAGCAGTGCTCCCCCTGTGGGAGCGCACTGACCACCAGGGGGCAGCTCCTGTGTTGAACATCTGCCCCCTGGTGGTCAGTGCACATCATAGTGACCAGTCATTCCAGAGTTTGGTCTATTTGCATATTAGCCTTTTATTATATAGGATTAGTATCTCTTCTAGTATCTAGAAGACAAGTCTTCACACTTTTGTTATATGGACTTCAGTAAGTTTAAGATACTACATTTTTTATCTTTATTATTGAAAGTATTACAGATGTCCCCTTTTCCTCACATTTACCCCCCTCTAAGATATAACATTTTAAAGATTTAAATATCATTTCTGTTACTTGCTTACTTTAAATCCTCATCAAATGCATATTTCACTAAATGCAACCCGTTCTTTTACATCAATGTGAAAGAACTGGCTGACCAACTACCTCAGGAGGTAGTTTGTACGGAGCTTAGACAAACTCAGCCCACAGAAACGGTAAGTATAAACCACAGGACCAAATTCAAAGTAGTTTCTTATTTTCTCCAGTAATACTTCAGCATATCTCAGCATAAATGGTTCCACTCTTTAAAAAATAACTTGTTTTGAATATTGAAAAACATATGCAGCCGCTGAAAGTAATGTTTACAAATACTTCACGGTGATTTCAGAAGTCCCTGACCTGGTAAATGGAAAAGCAGGATCTAGACCTGAACAGGATGGAGCTCTCAGCATTTGTAAAATATGGTGGGGGAATGAGAGGGGCGCAACAGACAGAGAATTCAGAATGATGCTGTCCTGTCTCGCTTTTTTTTTTTAACTTAATAGCACTTTATTGTATTTTTAAAAACAAAATATTTTTAGTCTGAAAGAAGTTATTTCCAGTTTTCATCATTTTAACTATGAGTCTGACAGAGAATCAAGCGAGACCTGGAAGGAAGGGAGGTTTGGGTGAACTGCAAGGTTATAAAACTAATTCCTCCCAAATATAAACTGTCCTGATGCTTCCTGTATATTCCACATTTTATGGAATGAACATGCATTGTCCTTTCTCTCATATTATTAAATTAATTCATGCTCATTGTAGCAATGTATTTTTTTTTAAATATATTTTATTGATTTTTCACAGAGAGGAAGGGAGAGGGATAGAGAGTTAGAAACATTGATGAGAGACAAACATCAATCAGCTGCCTCCTGCACACCCCCCACTGGGGATGTGCCCGCAACCAAGGCACATGCCCTTGACCGAAATCGAACCTGGGACCCTTGAGCCCGCAGGCTGATGCTCTATCCACTGAACCAAACCGGTTAGGGCCAATGTATTTTTTTTTTTTTAAATAATTGGGGATGGAAGCTAAGTAAAAAGCTGAAAGTAAAAAGGGTCCACTCTCAAGATATTCACTAGCTGAAGAAATGATGCAGCTGAAGATATCAACGGCCTCAAAGCAGTGAGATGCATTCACAGCTGGGCACGGAGAGGGAAAGGCGCTCGCCGCACTCTCCCCACAGGCCTTCCTCAGACATGTCTGCACACCCGCTCAGTCATCCTCACAACAAGCCCCTGAGGCAGGTTCCATGACTGTTCCCGTTAACAGATGTGGCAACGGCAGCTCAGAGCAGCGCCGGGACTCCCCCCGGTCCCACTGCAAGGGAGGCGAGCAGGGTCTGAAGAGAGTTCCTGGGGCTCCAGCAACCAAGCTCCTTATCCACGTGGTGCTGTCTCTTGGACTAAAACGGGGGCAGAACCAGCTCAATCCCCAATCCACAGGGGGTCACTGATGCTCCCCAGTCCATGATGGAGACTAAACCCCAGTCCACCTTTGCCCCTTCACCCTTGGCCTCTTCCCCCACCAAGAAGTCCTTTCCGATCCCACCCAAACTGTGTCTGCCACCCATGTCCTGCTGCAATGAACACCCAGGCCAAAGAGATAAGATAGCCAGCAAGTAGGGCCAAGCCACGACGGAGAGCACCCCACAGGGCACGGAAGGAAGGACACCCAGCAAGTGGAGAGCCTGCCCCGGAGCCCAGGTAAAAGGAGCCTCTGAGCGCTGCTCTGCAGTCCCAGGCCCAGGAGGGGCTGGCTCCTCCCACCCCTCGCCGACAAGGTTCTTGGCAAGGGCACAGGATGACACGGACGGCTGCCCACACAGCTCAGACACTGAAAGCACCTGCCGGCTTTAACCAGCGCCCTCTCCGGGCAGCAGCAGCTCAGCACCACCTGGTCAGTGCCCCTGCACCCGGTCCCACGGCCTCAGCGGCTGTGCACACACCCCCTCCCACACCACTCGGAGACCGCGTCAGCCACCGTCCTGGGGCTGAGGTGTTGTTCCAGTTACACAATTAGGGAAACTGACTCAAGAAAGCAAGGTCTCTGACAGAACAAGTCCCTGGTGGAGCCCTGTGTCTCCAGGACCGAGTCACACTGGGCCTGAGGCTGAATGGCCCACAGCTAATTGTGTGTGGCCTGTACTCTGTTGGTAAATTGTTGACTAGTTGACAGCAGTTAAAAATCAAATTTTACATTCAAGTCCAGATCTGGGACTCCTCAGCACATCCACAGCACTGGGACTTTCATTCCCAAATGGCAAACCTGGTGAACGCTGGGAACACAGGCAGGGTCCCGCAGCTCGGCAAGCTCCCGGGAGAGGAACAGGTGCGGCGCCTCTCCAAACTCAGCTCCCAGACAAAGCACGAATGTCCGCAGAGACAGGTGTGGGGGACAGTATCAAGGTAGCAGGAGGCACTGGGAAAAGCTTGTGTCACCCCAGATCCCCACTCCAGCTGGGTGGCTGCTGCCTGAGCAAGCACACCCTCCCTGGATGGAGCCCACGTTCACGAGGGCTCACAAAAGAAATCCAGGAGCAGGGAATGTGGAGGCAGGCACTGCTGGTGGGACCAGACACCAAGGACAGGGGACCCTCCTCCCGCACCGCAGTCGACATCTGACCATGGGGGTCTGCCACGGCTGGAAGCAGCAGCACCCGTAACAGGCAACAGCAGCCTCACCCACTCACTGCCACCCCAAAACTCAGAGCGCTGGCTCTGTATCACCCCTCACGACCTCCTTGGACCTTCAGGCCCAGAGGTGGACTCTCCCTCTCTGCCGACTCCCGGAAGACCTCCTGCAGCCCAAGTTCTTCCCACGCAAGCTCCCTCCTTCTGGACCGGGACCAGAGCCTCCATGGAGTCCCCTACCTGCGGCACCTAAGAAACCACAGCCAAACTGAGCCATGGCACCCGGAGGGCCCTGGGCCTAGGGGGCTGGGGGGGGGGGGGGCGCCCGGGCCCCCCCCCCCCCCCACATGATTAAGGCAGGCCATCTGTTCTTTGTTAAATGTTTACAAAAACAGCTTTTCTCTAAAAGGTTCCAGGAGACGTCGCCCTCACCCCACCTTCTCCTTACACCCTGTGCTCCAGCTGCTCCTGGGAGGAGCCCCCACATTCTGCGCCCCCCGCTGTGCTCTCTGTCCTCAGCACTCAGAGTCTAGATGCAGGAGGAGGCAGAGGAGAGGAAAGGGGCCAGGGCTGGGCAGATGTCAGAGGCGGGGAGCCTCAGGCGCTGGCCAGGAAGTGGGTGACAGGGGAGGAAGCCAGGTTCCAGAGCCAAGCCTAGAGCCAGCTGGGAGAGAAAGAAGGGGCCCAGAGGGGGGAGGGAAGGGCAAAGGCTGCCACCTCCGCCCGTCCAGCTCCCCGTGCACTGCTGCCCCCGCCCCAGGCCCTATCTGAAGCAGAGGCTGTGGCCCACGACCCCAGGCACAGGCGAGGGTTTACCTGCAGCCAGGCCTGGCCCTACTCCTCTCCTTTCCTGGTCAAACAGCGCCCACCCCCGGCCCAGGCGGAGACAGCGGGAGCTGAGAAACCGGCTCCTCCAAACCAGGCCGATAAGCAGGGCCGATAAGCAGGGCTGAAACAAAACGTGGCGCCAAGGCACCGAGGGGGCGCTGGGCACGCGGAGTGTGAGGGGAGAGGGGAGACGACAGGTTCGCTCGCCAGGCCTCCGCAGTCGGCAGTAAGGAAGACACCAGCCATCTAGGTCAGGGGGTGCACGGAATCAAGCACGCCCCCCCACAAACACTCAGAAACAAAGACCCTGAGCCAGTCACTCCTGCGCGCCCAGCGCGGGGCCACACACACCAACCCAGTGGAAAGTGGCCGCACACGCTCCTAGGAGCCCAGCTCCCCGCTCGCAAACTCCCAGCCAGCCCAGCGCAGGGCACTTCCTGCTGCCCAGCGCACGGGCTCCATGGCCAGGCCCTTCGCAACCCGCAGGGGTCCTCTCTGCGCAGCCTCAAGGCCGAGGCCCATGGAGCCCTGGGCAACGCGGCCACTCACCTTCCTGCACGGCCTGAAACGGGTTGTTGGCCTCGATGACCTTGATGGAGTAGGTGATCTTCTCGCTCTGCAGGATGTCATCGTTGAGGCTCAAGTCAGATATGGCCAGCTGGAACACCCTGTCGTCCTTGGCCGCATTCTCCTCGAAGATGGCACCTGGAGGGGAGAAGGGGTCAGGACAGGCCTGAGGAGCCCCCCCCCCCACCCCTGGCAGGCCGCTGGTGGGTTCGGACTGGCCTTTCAGGACAGTGAAGGCTTTCCTAAGACAGCCAGCAAGGATGCCCCACACAGCGCCCATGTGCACACCGCTGGCAGGAGTTCCACATGCACATGCACACGCTGCCACCCAGGCCACACAGGTAGGCGTCTCACAGCCAAGCCACCTCCTGACCCAGCCATGCCCCACACAACTGACTGCTCCAAGCTGGAGTGGCCTCAGGCGGCACACACGGGCCCTGACAGCCACAAAGCTCCCCACAGGCAGTGTCCCCTGACCAGTCCCAAGATGGCACGATGCCTTCCTCCCGCCCTGCAGTCCCCTTTGTGTGGAGGCGAGCACGCAGGTCCCCGTCTCTCCCACCCAGGGGCCCTGGGTACCAGCATTTCAGTCCCAGTCCCACTCTGCTCCCCCTCCCTCCCAGCTTCCTCCTGCGCAAATGTTGAGGGGAGGGGACTGCCCCCTCCACCCCTCGCCTTCTAACCCAGCAGGGCTGAGAAGCCAAAGGGCGCGGGCGGGCCTTGACAGAGCCTCCTCGAACCACCAAGCTCTCCTCCAGGTGGCCTCTGGCTGGCCTTTTCCAAGCTTAGCGCCCCTTGGCCCACTCTGACTTCCCTCTCCCTGGTCTGGCCCTGCAGCCTGGGCAACGCCGGGTCATCCCACCCTGGCCAGGCCCCCAGGGTCCCCACGGCCCCAGAGCTGAGCCAGATGACCCTCCTGGAGCTGGCGGGGGCAGGGGAGGGAGGCCCCAGCTCCACAAACACCCAGAGCCGCAATGCTGACCGGGAGCCCCGAGCCCCCCTCCCCCGCGGGAAGCTGGTTTGACACCCTCTCCCCCCACCCCCGCCCCGGCTGGGGGTGGGGTGATGCAGCTCACCAAACCCAGGTCTGGTCCCCCCCCATCGCCAT